CATGCACATCAGATTATACAGCGATGGTTATTCATGGAGAGATGGGAAAATTGGCATATTGTAAAGCGGGTGATAAAGCTTGGACCACAATTGAAACACCTTTGTCCAAAGCTACGTCTCCATTTTATTTCTATGGTTATTAAGGTTATGGTGCGAGTGCTTGCTATTTCGATGTTACTTATTTCAAAGGGAAGTTTTATGGGGTAAATTGTCATGGTAGAATAATGTCATGTGATACTGAAGGTGACAATCCGACTGAGCCACAAGTAGTAGCAACTTTGCCATCGTCAATGATGCTGTTTGAGAAAATATATTTGGTTGAATCAGAATGATCTCTCTTAGCAATTACCCGAGAAGGCGTGCATGCACGACTTATTTATGAAGGGAGTGAAATTTGTTGCTATGGAACTCATGGATTCCGTGTTTTTGAAGTAAATTTTGAGAGTAATACATGCGAAGAGATGAAGAACTTAGGTAATAACACAGTTTTTGTGGGTGATAATTCTTCATTTTCAGTTAAAGCATCAGAAGTTATGGGATACAACCGTAATTCGATTTATTTTACTGATGATTGCTTGGAAAGTTATCTGGGTATGGATGAGGAAGAGAAGTTGGAGATGACGATGATGGACATGGGAATTTATAGGATGGAAGATGGAAGGATTGAGCCACACTTCAAAGGAACTTCCATTAGTTATATTACTCCCCCGTTGTGGATTGAAGGCGAGGTTGATCATATTTTAAGTAGGCTAGATTCAGTTTTTTTTTTTTTTATGTTTGATGAGTGAAATTTTGTTATCTTAATAAGATTTAAATTGGCTTTTCAATATGAAGCAATTGTTCAACAACTAGACAACCCCATGCACACTTGTGAAATTGTTCAATATGAGCATTTAACTCAGCAGTGTCTTCAAACAGACAAAGATGAAGAGTAGGGCAATAGATGTGTGCATTTCATAATTAAAACAACATAGATCATAATCCAAACATTCATAAAACATAAAACGCTTTAAACCTTCACTGTCCAATAACGTGCTCGAAAAGGAGGTGAGCATTCCACTCCTCTGCAGTTCGAAACCTATCAGGACACACATTACACACAAACAGTTTTGTCTGGTTATTCACTCGGACTTGATGCATAGAAAGAAGATGGTTTCTCATACTTCGCTCATTGGGATAGATCTTTTGGCATTCTGAGCAAACAAGCCGTCCTTCTGCAACAGGAAACGGTCCAGCCAACACTTCCCGTCCTCCACCTTGTCCGCCGCCACCACCTTGTTCAGCCATTTCTCCCATTGGCTACTTCTTCTTCTCGCTCTCCCACTGGCAACTTCTTCTCTCTGGTTAACAAATAACGAGCACAAGTCTCAAGTGAAGACCACCCTCTTCACATTTATAACATCTTGGGGGAGAATTACAATAATTCCCCTAAGGTTTGTTAACCTCTCCCACAGTTCCCATGTGAAGCTGCAAATTCACATGCAAATTCTTACCCACTCTCTGTCATCATATCACATGGCTTACTCTTAAACACTAGGACAATTTTAAGGACCATTTCAATTACTCGTTAATTATTTAATAATGATTTAATTGTAATTCTATAAGCATTTTCTTTCTAATATATATATTTTTTTAATCTAACATTATAGTAAATATTCATTATAAAAGAAAAACAATTTACAAAAGGCCATATAAAAATGACCATCCTAACATAGGACAAGCCCTAGGTTAGGCACAAAATAATCACTATAACTCTTAACTAATTGCTAAACTAACAAAAGCTAAACAAAGCAACAAGGCAAAAATGAAAACAAGGAATACACTCACTCCTCTTGTGTTGCAATCTTTATAAACAAAAGACTGGGCACAAGAGGAGACAAACTAACTCTAAACAAAACACAATGCGATACCAAAAGAAAGGACAACCACCCGATCTCAAGACATACTACAAGAAAAATGACTTTCGGTATCTAGCAAAATTAGACTCAAATCGTCCAAGTTAGATGCTAATTGTTTTGTGCGTCTAAATTTACGTAATCACTATGTAGTTGCAGAATCGTAGTCATAGAAGGAATGGGCAACTAAATATTAGGTTAGACGTGGAAAGCGTTTTTTTAGCAACTAGCAATTTAGTTACTAATTATTGTTTGAAATTGTCCTCTGACTTAGATGCTGAATGTGTAAGGATAATTTGATAAAATTACATCACCACTACTCAATTAGTTGAAGAATGCACTTTTTAGAGAGAAAAAAAATTAGTTGCGAATTTCAAAAAAATTAGGAGCTGAATGTGTAAGAGAAATTTGTCAAAATGTTTCACGACTATTCTATTAGTCAAAAAATGTATCTTTTAGTGAACAAAAAATTAGTGGTAAATTCTAATAATTTTAAATGCTAAATATTGAATCCAAATCTAGTAAATTACTTTCCGCTACTATGAATGTGTGTTTTTATAAAAAAATAATTAGTGGCAAAAGCATTTCATTTTAGTTGGGCACTGTGTATGCCCAATTTAGTTTATTAAATTTCGTAAGTCGTAACTAATGATTTAGTTATTAAAATTATTTTTTTGCATCTAAATAATATAGTAATCAAGGCCGTCTCAAGAACATTTGTGACCCTAGACAAGAGTTACTTTGGGGCCCTTTTAATAATATAAGCATATATTAAAAAATTATTTCAAATTTATTTTTCTTGCCTTTTGAGATGCAAAAACACTAATTAAATTTTTATATTCAAGTTTAGAAACCAAATCTTTTTCAATTGATAATATAGTCAAATTACTTAATCTTTCTTGTGAAGGCGAGAGGTGGACGATGGGCTACCGGGGGTCAAGTAAGTGAGGGGTTTTGGGGAGGGGGCTAAGGGGACGAAGATGGTGGTGTCGGGGAAGGTCAACGATAGCGGATACATGCAAAAAATTACTGTCGCACGCAGTGAAGAATGAAAATGGGTTGTGAAAATCAGTAAAAATCGACCAAATTGGGGGTTGTCAAGGCTGGGAAAACGTTTCGGAAATGATTGAGTGATGAATCCGGTCGATTTTGGTGAGAAAATTGACCGAAATCATCACTTTAACGCCAACAATGACACTATGGTGGTGTAAAGGGTGGAAATGCAATGTTTTCATCATTTTAGGGATTGAATTGGTGTTTTGAAATTTTAGCATTTAAATAATTAATTTAGTTAATTTAGGGGTGTGAATGGAAAATATGAAACATGGTTTTTTTGTAAATTTATGTAAAAAAATTATAATGAATTTGGGCCTTTTTGGCTTTTTTGGGGCCTTTGGACCGATTTAGAAAAAAAATTATAAACTTTTTTAAACCCAATTGTATTTTTGTAAATCTATTTAAAAAAATCTTAAAATAATTTTGGGCCCTTTTTAGGGCTTTTTTTTTGGGCCCTAAACAGATGCCTTACCTGCCTACCCCTTGGGCCGACCCTGATAGTAACCCATTGTATATGAGTTTTGTAATTGACGTGGTTTATACATTCAACATTAACAAGGTAAGAGTGACACAATATTAAAAAAAAATCTGGATATCAAATATCTTCATTGCATATAAAATTAATAGTCCATACCAATGTTTTGAAACCTGGACCGGACTGGGTGGTCAAACCGGTCCAATCAGATTTCGATGGAAATTTCGGTTTTAAAGGAGTAAAAAACTGAGATTTCACGTTAGACTATCTCAAACCGTTGTTAGACCATCTCATTATAGCAACCCGATGGTCCAAGCAATATAACACATAAATCCGGTCCAAACGTCAAATCCGGTCCCCTAACAAATTACAAAACCCTAAAGTCAAACCCCCAATTTTCTTAACCCATTTTTATTTGCTTTTGCGGTTCACAACTGTTTGGCACTATCATGCTCAAATCCTTTGTTGAACGATTGTAGGCCAAGTAATTACCAAACATGCTTTTAAGGTCAACAAATGAGGCAGGTCCCACAGTGGTCGACCCCATGGGACACCTTGCCCCAAGAGAGGCGGTCACTTGACAAAATTACAACGTGTTTCATGGCTATACAATTACAACATGTAGAAAACTCTTACTTGACCCAAATAAGTCTTTGCTGTTAGGCTCAGAGAAAAAGACTACCGACTAAAAACCATGTGTTGTTTTATATATAGGTATATTATATATATTAATTATATATATATATAATTATATATATATATATATATTATTGTTAAATCCTCCTTCTTATGAGAGATGCTTTTGTTATGTGATTACTAATAACTTGCATTATTGTATTAAAGAAAGGTGATTGTCACGTCGTGCAATAATGAATAAGTTAGTTGATAAAGTGGGTTTGAATAGAGCTCAAACTTAAAACTAGTTCAAGAGAGAAGGGAGTCCCATGTAATAGGAAACAGGCTAATTGATAAAGTGGTCATGTAGGAGAGAGCCCAATTATATACACATAACACATGTAATAGGAAACAAACTAATTGATAAAGTGGGCATGTAGGAGGGAGCCCACTTATATACACCATAACACGTTGTGGGATAAATTCAACTTCAACTACTCTAGTTGGACCCATTTGCATGTGTAAAATAATTGCATAGAAAGAAGAAAGAAAATGCATAGGATGTGCGTATATATATCTACATATTCATATTCATTTTCCCATGTCCAAAATTTGCTTTTGTTCTTCTTGGAAAGAAAAAGATGTGGGGATTATTTTGGCATTATCTAGTCCTCTACGTCTTCTTCTTGTTCTTCCATCTTCAAGTTATTTGTTCATCCTCAGTGACGGATCCAGGAATTTCACTCGATGGAGGCAAAAAATAAACAAAAAAAAAATTTTCCAAAGAGAAAAAGGGAAGAGAAAAAGGGAAAGAGAGGTTTCAGCGTGTGTTTTGTTCTGGTACTGTAAGAGTTCAAAAACCAAAAAAGCTTTTCTTTTCCCAAAATGTCAAAGTTATATAGTGGACAAAATATCAAACTCTTGTGGGGGCAAAATGTCGAAGTGTTATAAGGGATAAAATGCAACTAAATATAAATATTTATACCATTGGAAGTTTTTTAAAGTTTGAGTGGGGCCGTGGTCTCCACTCGTCATTAAGTAAATCCGCCACTGTTCATCCTCTTTTAACTCTTCTTCTCCGTTACAGAAACTTTGCTCTCCAAAGCTCTGCCCTTCTCCGTTTCAAGAACACCTTTTCGATTGAGGAGTCTTCAAGTTTTTCCAAGACAAATTCCTGGAAAGAGGGTAGTGATTGCTGCACTTGGGATGGGGTTACTTGTGATAGGTTCACCGGTCATGTGATTGGACTTGACTTAAGTTCTTCTGGGCTTACTGGTCCTATCAACGACAATAGCAGCCTCTTCCACCTTCACCATCTCCAGAAGCTCAATCTAGCTTACAATATTTTCGATCCATCCACCATCTCACCCAAGTTTGGTCAGTTCACCAAATTGACACATCTTAACCTTTCTGTATCCTCTTTCTATGGCCTAGTTCCAACCGAAATCTTTCACTTATCTAAGCTTGTTTTGCTTGACCTTTCTTACTCTAGAAGTCTGGAACTGCGTCAACATGGTTTTAAAAAACTCTTGCAAAACATGACAGAACTAAGATATCTTCATCTGGATTCTGTCAACATGTCTTCTGTTGCAGTTGGTTCTTTTGCAAACCTGCCTTCTTCTTTGATATCTCTGAGTCTTCAGAGTAATTACATGCAAGGCAAGTTTCCAAATGATCTTTTCCGATTTCCATTTCTCCAGCTGCTCAGATTGTCTGACAATCAAAACATAACGGTTAATTTGCCAAATTTCAACAGGAGCAATCCTCTTTAATTATTGGATCTCTCTTCCACAAACTTTTCAGGGAAATTACCCGACACAATCAGCAATCTGATGCACTTGAATGATTTGCGTCTAAGTGGATGCAAATTCGAAGGGTCAATTCCACCGTCACTTGAAAACCTTACTGAAATCACTTTTTTGGATCTGTCATTCAACGGTTTTACTAGTCAAATACCAACATCGATATCTAAACTTGACCAGCTCACTCATCTTAATCTTGGAGACAACAAATTTTCTGGGTCATTACCATCATCACTTGAAAACCTTACTGAAATCACTTCTTTGGAGCTGTCATTCAACGGTTTTACTGGTCAAATACCAACATCGATATCTAAACTTGGCCAGCTCACTCATCTTGATCTTGGAGACAACAAATTTTCTGGGTCATTTCCTCTGTCACTCGAAAACCTTACTGAAATCACTTCTTTGGATCTGTCATCCAACGGTTTTACTGGTCAAATACCAACATCGATATCTAAACTTGGCCAGCTCACTTATCTTGATCTTCGAGACAACAAATTTTCTGGGTCATTTCCTCTGTCACTCGAAAACCTTACTGAAATCACTTCTTTGGATCTGTCATCCAACGGTTTTACTGGTCAAATACCAACATCGATATCTAAACTTGGCCAACTCACTTTTCTTTATCTTTGAGACAACAAATTTTCTGGGTCATTTCCTCTGTCACTCGAGAACCTTACTAAAATCACTTATTTGGATCTTTCATCCAACGGTTTTACTGGTCAAATACCAACATCGATATCTAAACTTGGCCAGCTCACTCATCTTTATCTTTGAGAGAACAACTTTTCTGGGTCATTTCCTCTGTCAAACCTTACTGATATCACTGTTTTGGACCTGTCATCCAACAATTTAACAGGAGTCATCCTCCCGTCATTTTGCAATTTGAGCTCTATTGTGTATATTGACTTATCAAATAACAATTTTAGTGGATAAATTCCACCGTGTTTCGGAAAATTTGGTACGGGCCTCGATTCCCTGAATTTGGAGATGAACAACTTCCATGGTAGCCTTGGATCTTTAACATTTCCAACTTCCAGTAGTTTGACGGCTCTTATGCTTAATGGCAATCAATTGGAGGGACCATTACCACCATCTTTGATTAATTGTACCGATTTGGAAATCCTAGATATTGGGAATAACATGATTAATGATACCTTCCCCTACTCTCTAGAAGATCTTGAAAACCTTCGTGTTATTATTTTGAGATCTAATCGATTTCATGGTCCCATTAACAATTCCAGTGCAACATTTCCCTTCCCTAAATTGAGAATACTCGACCTTTCCCACAATCAATTTACTGGTCCTTTGCCAATAAATTATTTTAACAATTTTGTGGCTATGATGCCTTCGTCCATGGATAATGTCGGATTCAGATATATGTTCAATTCTGAATTCGAATATTATTCAGTAACTTTGTCGATCAAAGGAGGTGAGATGGAAATGGAAAGGATTCTAACCATTTTCACAACCATAGATTTGTCCGACAACCTGTTTCGAGGACCAATTCCAGAGGTGATTGGAAAGCTACAGTCACTCAAACTGCTCAACTTCTCTCACAATAGCTTAACTGGTGATATACCATCGTCATTGTCAAATTTGACACAACTTGAAGCATTAGATCTCTCTTACAAGCAGCTCGTTGGAAATATTCCAATGCAATTGACAAGTCTAACATTTCTTTCAGTGCTAAATTTGTCATACAATCAGCTTGTGGGACCTATACCTCAAGGAAAGCAATTTGATACATTTCTAAACGATTCCTTTATTGGAAACTTGGGTTTGTGTGGATCAACATTGTCAAAAAAATGCAGCAATGAGGAACCAAATCAACCAACATCAGTAATCCTTGAAGAAAACAATGCTTCAAGCTGGTTTGATTGGAAAATTGCCTTGATGGGATACGGATGTGGATTGGTACTTGGCATATCTATTGGTTACATTGTGTTCTCAACAGGAAAACCACAATGGTTTGTGAGATTGATTGAAAGAGAGGGTCCGAAAAAGGTGAGAAGGCTGAATAGGGGAAGTAGAGGAAGAAGAAATTAGCATCTGAAAGTTGCTCTTCAATTTTGTAAGTGCTCTAATCCTCTTATAGCTATAAATTGTGTTTTCTTCCTGACAGCTTTATCATAATGAACATGGCTAGAAAAGAGACATTGAATTCATATTTAATCCAACAATTTTTTAGATTATCACACTTTGTTTTTCTTTCTCAGACGACTTGGAAGAGTTGATAAACATGGAAGAGTAGTATTTGGGAGCTGGATAAGCTGCTATAGTCTGTCTCTGAGTAATCTTCAATCTTCTGTATTCTAAATTTCCATGTGAGATTGAGAGTTAGAATTGCCATAACTATGTATGCAAGATATGTTAATTTTGAAGAATTCCAATTTAATAAAGTTCTTAATGTTCCCTCTCTTGCCTTGGATCATTGTTACTTGTCTGAATTTTGTTGTCCCTTCGTATTGAAACTCAACTTATTTGTACTACCTACTGCAAATTTCGGAAAAAGGGTACTGGAATACCTTTGCCCCAATTATTGTTACTGTTTAAAGATGTACTTTTTTTACGTTAGAAGTTTTTTTCATCAGGAACAGTACCGGCACATTATGCTTTCTTCAGGTAACATCACGATGACCAAAAGTCTTTTGTCATCATGGACATGGCTGATAAATAACCGGTTTTAGTGTATAAGATAAAATTTTGGGAACACATTGAGCAAATGAAGTCTTTGGTCAAGTCAAGAGATGGTCTGCTAAGTGGAATCAACATTGATATTTTTAATACTGATTGCATTTTTTTTTAATTAAATTAAATTGAAAATAGTATAAACAGAGCATGATAAATATTGCACATTTTTTTTAGTTAATTTCTGAAAAATTAAATATCAAATAAATATTGTGCGCACCTCGACTAATCCTTAAAGCTTTGAAGTTAAAAACCAAGTATAATCTCTAATGACCACTCTTATTAACAATGTCCGAGAGGAATCAAACTCAAAACATCTTAAGTAATACACTCAAGAGTCTCTATCGCCCTACCCATGGATGGTTAATATGGTTAATAAATTACATATTATTATCTGGTTGTAAGAGATATCAATGCAATGAGAATCTAGTAAAAAAAAAACAAAGGTTTATTACCCACAAAATTCTAACACTTGCTGTAATTAGCATTCAATCCAATGTTAGAAAAGAATATATATATGAAATTTTTAATTAAAAAAAAAAAAAGGTGCATTGCTTCATTCATGGGAAAAAGTACCTGCAACAATCGGCAACAAGATGACAATTCTAGTATTTATTTAAATTCACATAACATGTTTCAAGAGCCAACAAGATGGAATTGGCTTTACAGTTTTTGAAGTTCGCACCATGAAAATGTAAAGATGTTTTCCAGTGGAGTAATGTTATACTTTGTACTATTTTTTTATACAATTTTATAAATATTATGATGTGACATGTGTTACAATCACACAAATTTTATTATAATATTAAAAATTAAAAATAATTAAAAATCTATATAATTATGATATATACTACATCATGATGTAATAAAAATTATGTAAAAGAGTGATGTAAGTATAACATTACTCTTTTCAACATTTATTACGTCTTTTAAGGGTCAGGCTGTAGGGGAAACTTTCCAAGTCCTTGCATTCTAAGAAATCAGTTATATCAAGATATTTTTCATTTTGGGCCTACGCAGGCCCGTTTGGGTTTCATGCAACACGTTTATCTAGCTTTGTTCCCTAATTGACAAGACTGACTTTAAGTACTTTGATCATTAAGGTTGTTTCGTGAACCTTTCCTTTAATAGGGAGGACTTTCCTCGCCTGTAATTCTGCCTCTTCCATAACATTTTCATTTTGTAAGGGGGGAACGACTTAAAGAGTGTTTGTCTGAGCTTATAAAAATTAGCTTATAAGTAATAAGTATTTGAAATTTTAAGCAATTACGTGTTTGATTAAAATACTTATAAGTGACTGATAAGTAGTTGACGTGTTTGGTAAAATGTGGCTTATAAGTACATTTTATTATAAAATGACTAAAAAGGGTATTACATTAAATAAGGGTGTACTATGGAATTTTAAAATTAAACAAGGATAATGTGGTAATATACTTGGTCAAACTAACTTATAAGCAGAGTGCTTATAAGCCAAAAAAAAAAAAGTACCTCCCCCCAACTTATTTTTTTTTGGCTTATAAGCTCAAAAAAGTTATAAACAAACAGGTCAGCTTAACTTTAGAGCTTATAAGCTAGTTTGACCAGCTTATAAGCTTAGACAAATACCCCCTTAAACATACTCAAGGTTTAACATAACGATAAATTAGTACCCAAAAGGTTTCAAAAAGACAAATCGATACCTTTCATCCTATTCTGTTATAGAATTCCGTTTTATAATAATGAAAATACTAAAATACCCTTTGAAGTTTGACAGCTTAGTTTTTTATTAATTTATCATTAGTCGATTAATTCAATTACATAAATACCCACATCATTATGGTGAATTACATTATGCCCTCATGTTGCAAGTGACCAATTTATCTCTCTTTTACATCATTATGGTGAATTACATTATGCCCTCATGTTGCAAGTGATCAATTTATCCCTGTTTTTGGTAGAAGCAGTATCAATATACTCAAATGTAGCTGAAAATTGAAATTTTTCATAATTTAAAAGAAAGCGTTCATAATTAACATCAATTCATTCAGTATCAATTAATTCTTCATGGTTTTGTTATGCAACGGAAACATAAACTCTAACGCTAGCTTATTGAATATAATAATACAAGTAATAAAGCATAAATAAATTGCCAAAATTAAATGCAAAAATAAAGAATACCAGGAATTAACGAGGTTCGGTATTAAAACCTACGTCCTCGGGCGCTGCAAAAGAAAGCTCCACTATCTCCAAGAATATTACAAATATTGGGCAATACAACAAATACCCAAAACAAAGGGAGATACAACAAAACTTGCAAACTAAAGGGTCCTTAAAGAAGAACCACTTGCAAAAGAATGATGGAATTACAACTTGGGATACAAATAACATTGATTTAGGTGCTTATATATAGGCCCCAAAAGTTTCCCACTTTTCATTCCTTTCCATGTGGGACAAACTAACTCATTTTGGCCTATTACATAAAGTCCCTAAACCTTTCTCCATTATCACTTCTACCCCATGATTTTGCTAAAAGCCATTTTTCAACAAACTCCACCTTGGCGAATTAGCAAATCTTCAAAGTTTTGTGTTCTTCTGCCAAATTTTGCAACACCTTCAAAAGCACCAAAAGACCCAGTCAAGCTCGCAGGATTGATCAAGTTCAACAATAAATAACTTGACCCTTGTCACTACTGAAGTCAACATGTCTGTAGGTTATCTTCTGTGCCAATCTTCTGGAAAATCATTTTCCCATTTTCAATATCCTACACATAAAACTAAACCAATATCTATAGTACATAAAATATCTGAGAAACCATTTCACAACTTGCAAATGTCCTTTACCAGGATCATACATATGCCTGCTCACCATACTAACTGCTTGTGAAATATCAGGCCTTGTGTACCCATGGCCCATCATACATTGATCAAATCGCTTGTACCACTGTCTTGGTGACTGCTTCAAACTATATAGCGATTTCTTCAATCTGCAAACCCAATTTTCTTTCGCAACCCTACAATCATCTGGCTGAGTCGTTAGATTTCCTCTTCCAAACTCAGGAGAAAACACTTCACTGTAATCAAATCCTTCCATTTGAGCATATCCCTTTACTACCAACCTAACCTTGTGTCAAACATCTTCTCTATTAGGAAATCCCTTCTTCTTTGCATACACCCATTTGCACCCAATCGCCTTCTTATGTAGGGATCGAATTTCATCATTCATGGTCGGTTTCCATGATTCACAATTTGAACTCCTAACTACTTCTTTATAAGTATAGGAATATATCACCTACGATTGGAAGTGCATAAGCCACCATATTAGCGAAACGAGCTGCTTGCGAATTTCTCGTCTTGGCCTATTGTATGCAATCAATTCCTGTTGCTGAGGAGATTCTTGGGGTAAAATCTCCTTTTCATCTATAGTATCCACGTTAGTCCCTCAGAATCACTTTCTGTCTCGTGGACACTATCTGGTTCAACTGTTGTTTCAAACTCCACCTGCTACCGAGTATGCTCCACACACATATGCCACAACTTGAGCATTTCTGATCTGCATCCTCCTGTACAACTGCAGCTGTCGTTCCAATAACGGTACTACCATTATAGTAATACAATTGTTTCTCCTCATGCCTTTCATTACCACGAGCCCTGAAGAAGCTTGTAGAATTCCATCTCGCATATTCACCGTGAAGCCTTTAGATTCAAGGCTCCAAAGAGATGAGATTCTTTTTCAACTTCGGTACATACCGAACATCTGTCAGAGTTCTAGTCAAGCATCATGATTCTTCAACCGAATTGAACCTATCCCAGTTGTTTTACAAGCATCATCATTCCCATATAAACAACTCCCACGTTCTTCAAAATTAAAGAACCAGTCCTGGTGAGGACACATATGATAGGTACTACCTGAATCCATAATCCACTCATTTGATCCAGAGGTGGATGGTAGGCTAACTAGACAGAAATCTGACTCATCCTCTTCACGCTCAACAACGCATGCATCAGAAGCAGCTTTGCCCTCTTTCTTTTTCAACTTCGGACAATCTTTCTTCCAATGCCCATTCTCACGACAAAAGGCACATTGATCCCAACTAAGTTTTCCCTTCGAACGAGATCTTCCTCTTCTCTCATTCATGTATTTGTTTTCCAGCGCCTTCCATAACTTATTGGCAGAAGTCTCTTTCATGAATGGATATTTATGCTCTCTACAAAAGACATGAGCGAATCATCCCACACGCTTTTACATTCAACCTCACCCAGTCTTTCTCATAGACATCTTCTGGTTTTTTCCTCCTCCAGAACGATATATAGATCCTGCTGATACAAGCTATCCATTACCTTACTCTGCCACAAGCCAAAATTATTTTTGGCCATCAAATTTTTCAACATCAATTTTTGCATTTGAAACCGTTATCATCTTTACTGGTGCGGATGGTGGTGTCGCGGACGGTGATGCCTCAGACGATGAATCCTCGGACAATGATGCCATTTATGCCAGGAATTAACGAGGTTCGGTATTGAAACCTACGTCCTCAGGCGCTGCAAAAGAAAGCTCCACTATCTCCAAAGAATATTACAAATATTTGGGCAATACAACAAATACCCAAAACAAAGGGGAGATACAACAAAACTTGCAAACTAAAGGGTCCTTAAAGAAAGAACCACTTGCAAAAGAAGTAATGGAATTACAACTTGGGATACAAATAACATTGATTTAGGTGCTTATATATAGGCCCCAAAAGTTTCCCACTTTTCAT